CCGAGATTCGATCGTCGGTATCTCAATACCTAGTTCAATCTTGTTACCAGCAAGTCTCTTTACTCGTTACGTAATGCATCATCTCGTAACTAACTCATTAGCTACATTGCTTGCAAGGCTTATAGTGACGTGCATTACCGAGAGGGCCCAGAGATACCTCTCCGACAATCAGAGTGACAAATCCTAATCTCAAAATATGCCAACTCAACATGTACCTTTGGAGACACCTGTAGAGCTCCTTTATAATCACCCAGTTACGTTGTGATGTTTGGTAGCACACAAAGTGTTCCTCCGGTAAACGGGAGTTGCATAATCTCATAGTCGTAGGAACATGTATAAGTCATGAAGAAAGCAATAGCAACATACTAAACGATCAAGTGCTAAGCTAACGGAATGGGTCAAGTCAATCACATCATTCTCCTAATGATGTGATCCCGTTAATCAAATGACAACTCATGTTTATGGTTAGGAAACACAACCATCTTTGATCAACGAGCTAGTCAAGTAGAGGCATACTTGTGACACTATGTTTGTCTATGTATTCACACATGTATTATGTTTCCGGTTAATACAATTCTAGCACGAATAATAAAAACATTTATCATGATATGAGGAAATAAATAATAACTTTATTATTGCCTCTAGGACATATTTCCTTCAGTCACTTGCAAAAGTGAGATCTGATAGAGATAGATAAACGGTAAAGTAAATATTTTTGGTATTTTTGGTGTATAGATTGGAAAGTAAAATATTGCAAAATACTAGACCGGAAACTAATAAGATGTAAAAGAGATTCAATATAATGGAAAAGAGACTTGAAGGCTGATTATCCCCAAGTACAGGGAATCATCGTACTAATTCCCAAAGGTGGAAGTGATAAGTATGGAGTGTCGAACGCACAAGGAGCTAAACACAAGATCAATATTCTCTCAAGTCCTATCTGCCACTGATACGACTCTACGTACACCTAACGTTTGCTTCCAACTAGAAACGAGAAATAAAACTACATTGTGGGTATGAAGAGGATAACTTTGCATGATATCGGAGAGCTAAAATATAAAAGTAGGTGATGTTATCATAGAGTTAGAATATATTACTAAATATTATAAATAGCGAGTGTGGAATAATGATGGGTCAGTGTGCAAAATTATCCTAGGCAATTGTTAACAAGACCAGTAATCACTATTGCATTTTCATATGTGGGAGAGGCATAAGCTAACATACTTTCTCTTCTTGGATTATATGCACTTATGATTGGAACTCTAGCAAGCATCCGCAACTACTAAAGATCATTAAGGTAAACCCAACCATAGCATTAACATATCAAGTCCCCTTTATCCCATACGCAACAACCCCCTTACTCGGGTTTATGTTTCTGTCACTCAAGCAACCCACTATAAGCGAATCATGAACATATTGCAACACCCTACAGCGAGAATCTCTCATGCTTGCGCGACACGGAGGGCACAATTAGACAGCACCAAAATAAGACATACAACTCATACCAATCTAGATCATCAATCAACCCAAAGACAAATGATGTCTACTCAAAACATCATAGGATGGCAACACATCATTAGATCATAATATGTGGCATAAAACACCATGTTCAAGTAGGGATTACAGCGGGCGCGGGAGAGTGGACCACGTAAAAGAGATGAAGATGGTGATGTTGATGAAGACGACCACCGCGGCGATGACTCCCCTCCCGATGGCACTCCGGCGCCCTCCTGCCTCGTGGCCGCCTCGTTGCGCCTCCAACTTCATCTCCAAGTCTTCTAGTTTACTTTCGGTCCAAGAAAGATCATCGCGAAGGTTTCATTCCGTTTGGACTCCATTTGGTATTCCATTTCTGCAAAACTCTAAAATAGGCAAAGAAACCAGAAACTAGCACTGGGCCCTCGATTAATAGGTTAGTCCTAAAAATAATATAAAGTAGCATATAAATGCCTTTTAAACATATAAAATAGATAATATAATTGCATGGAACAATCAAAAATTATAGATACGTTGGAGACGTATCACGTACCAATGGACAAAGGTAATTACATATGTTGTCATAACGGTTTGACCGATAAATATCTTCGTAGAATATATATGAGCCAATATGTGCATCCAGGTTCCTCTATTGGCCATTGACCGGAGAGGTGTCTCGGTCATGTCTACATAGTTCTCGAACCCGTAGGGTCCGCACGCTTAACGTTTGTTGACAATATAGTGTTATATGAGTTATATGATTTGGTGACCGAATGTTGTTCGGAGTCCCAGATGAGATCACGGACATGACGAGGAGTCTCGAAATGGTCGAGAGGTAAAGATCGATATATAGGACGATGGTATTCGGACACCGAAAGTGTTTCAGAGGGTACCGGGTACTTATCGGGTCACCGGAAAGGAGTTTCGGGCAGCCCCGGCAAAGATATGGGCCTTATGGGCCAAGCGAGGGAACACACCAGCCCACAAGGGGCTGGTGCGCCCCTATAGAGAGGTCGGCCCTATGAGGAGGAGAAGGAAAGAGGGGAGGGAAAGGAAAGTGTGGAGTAGGACTCCTTCCTTCCCTCTCCCCTCCTCTTTCCTTCCCCCTTGTATATACATGGCAAGGGGGCGCGGCTTGGGTCCTACTTGGGCGCATCCTTTGGCTGCTCCTCCCTCCCACCCACCTATATATATGTGGGAGGGGGCGCCTAGCACATGACAGACAATTGCTTAGCCGTATGCGGCGCCTCCTCCACCGTTTACACCCCGGTCATATTTTCATAGTGCTTAGGCGAAGCCCCGCGGAGATAACTTCACCATCACCGTCACCACGCCGTCGTGCTGCCGAAACTCATCCACTACTTCGCCCGTCTTGCTGGATCAAGAAGGCGAGGACATCACCGAGCTGAACGTGTGCAAAACTCGGAGGTGTCGTACATTCGGTACTTGATCGGTTGGAGCACGAAGAAGTTCGACTACATCAACCGCGTTATTAAACGCTTCCGCTTACGGTCTACGAGGGTACGCAGACACACTCTCCCCCTCATTGCTATGCATTCCCATGGATAGATCATTGCGTGTGCGTACATTTTTTTTCCATGCAACGTTTCCCAACACGTCGACACCTCAAGCCTCGTCCTATCTTGCCCGCGCCTCACTCGAGAAGCACAGGCCATGATATCGCCCTGTGTCCTCATCCTCTGCCCCTCGTGAGCCAGCACCAGCTCTACAACGTCACCTGCCACTCCTTCCAAGGACCCAACCTCGTCGGTGGGCTCTACGACTTGGCCGCCCAAGCCTCCCAGGTAACCAATCTCGGCGGTGGGCTCTACAACTTCACCGCCCAGGGACCAACCTCGGCGGTGACTTTATTGATCGGCTAGGTCCAATCAAAACTTAGTGGAGTATTTTTACTCCACTAAGCTTTACTCGGTTGTTTACTCCTTATTCTTAGGGGATAGGCTAGAGTTGCTCTTAGCTGCTCAAAAAGTTAGGAGTCGCATCGACCGCCTCTCAAATTTGAGCGATCGAAGGGCTTCACTAAACTTTACTCGGCCATCTTCTCTATTTTTATAGGGGATAGGCTAGAGTTGCTCTTAGCTGCTCATTAGATAGGAGTGGCGTCGACCGCCTCTAAAATTTGAGCGGTCGAAGGGAGTTCTCAGTGAAAATATTCTTATTGAAATCTCTGAAAAGACTCATATTTAGGAAAGGGGGAAGTAGAAGAAGAGTAGATTGTGGCTTCAACGAAGCTTTCTTTTAATGTTACATCAGATAGCTACACATCCATAACTGAAACCGATTCTGCAATATTGATACAGTAAGACGCTTCTCCAAATGCCACAAGTAGTAAGCTATGGAACCAACCCCAGATGCCACAAGTAGCAAGCTGTGGAACCAACCCCCAGATGCCACAAGCAGCAAGCAGAAGCGGGCAAGCACCGGAACCACACAGGGCAACAAGACGAAACAGAGAAATCAATTGGTCGCTAACAGAGTAACACTACTGATGTCACAGGACAAGAGTGCCTGATACAGTTACATAGCATCCAAATTAATCCACCACTGCTTATAAGATGAACACGGTTAGAACTGCTATTGGGGAAATGCAGCCCCGTGCTCTTCGCTTATAGCGCTCTTGACACAAGCAAGCCATCCAAAAGCTTCCTAGTCTCCTTCACTGACATTTCCGTTTCAGAGAAGACATAGGAAAATCCAGATGGAGGTAATTAAGCATCAGGTTTCATTCAGTTTGCCACTTTAAGCATCACAATATCAAATGGACCAACAAGACACCATCGATAGTCAAATGTCAAGTGCACTCAGAAATCAAAGGGATGGATTTGGTCAAGCAATATAGTTTTTATTTCCAAAAGTTACAGCAGCATAGGTTAAATGCCTTCGTATCCCAGTCGGACATATTTCCATTTTATAGTTTGTATTCCAACAAAACCAAAACTCTGATTATAGAAGGAGAAATGCCACACAACATAAACTAGCCACTGTTAGCTTGGACTAGCAAAAGGAAAATTTACACTGCGATATATTTGAATCACAAATCATGAATAAGCTCAAGAGCACCGGTGATAAAGAACATATGATCCACTAGGCAACATTCCCGGGAAAAACAAGTATTAGCAATCTCATACATAGCTTGAGGTTCACAACTGAGAAGTAGGCTGTAGAAAATTACACAATGGATTGTGTTTAAGAAACAGGAAATTCCAAGACTGATGGGTTCTGACTATTTCTGTGCAAGAAAACAGAGTGGCATTTCAGTTTCAGAGAACGGATTGACAAGGCTAGGCAACCGTCAGCTATTAATTCTCTTATACATGATGTTTCAAATTTTTGTAGGTCAGTAATCTCTCAGCTATTAATCCTCTTATACATGATGTTTAATATTTTTACGGCAAGAATTCACAAATGTCGCTTAACTATTGTTAAAAAGGCCTAAGCAGATCACATGTAAAACCACCCCAGAGCTATACCAAACGGAGAGATGCATGATGCACATTGAAGAACTATGTAACCTCTACAAGGACACTATAGAAATCACCAAAAGGGCAGAAGACAAACCTTGCAGGGCTATCCACAAGCGCGGGGAAAATGGGAGGCCAGCTCATCATAAAAGGATAGATATCACCCAAATGTTGCTCCTCCGATGTCATCTCATACACTTTACGCAGCGTCCTGCACTTGATATCCAAGTAGAGTACACATCGACACATCTCCAAGAATACAAACTCATTGTAGTCCCCCACATGGTTTATCCGGATATCAGCAGTAGGCTCATCCTCAAGAAAATTAGCACACATTTCACGCAAACAAATGGTGTCCACCAACAACCAGCTGTCGCCATTGAGGAGCCATATGTGAAGTTGAAACTCTTTGACATGGATGAGATATACACCAGAAGAATCATCAGCCCGTGACAGCATGGTGTTGCCTGCTAAGCCAAAACCCACCCCTTGTGGAAGCTGAATTGTCAATAAGATCGAGGTTGTCAAGTCCAGGACAACAATTTCATCTGGGTCGCACGGCACATAGATTTTGTTGCCAACGAGCACGCCTTTGGGGCTGGATCGTGGATATAGGAGGACGTCTGCTGAGGCCAAGGTAAGATGGGTGCGCCAGACATGATCACCATTTTGCAACACATATACTTGCACCGTAGAATATGTTTGAAGCCTGTCGCACTCCACCCTGACATAAAAGTAGGACACGCCGGCGCCTTCTTCTTTGGAAAAGAGCTGAATAAAAGTGCAGAAATTGCCTTCCCCGGATTTGTGGTGTAATGCTGGGATGTGCACCACAAATGTAATTTCGGATCGGCGGTGGTTGAAGTTATACACGTGCAAACTGGTGAGGACGCTGCCGTTCCAGCAGCCCGCCATGTCGGTCTGTGCGCCCTCGTAGGCGTCCAGGCTGAAGCTTGCGCGGCGGACGACGGCATCGAGCCCCGGAGGCTGAGGCAGCATCGGGAAGAATCGTGCGGCGGCGTCCGGATACTCCCTTTGCTCGAGGTAGAAGCCGAGGAGCCTGGGCGGGTGGAGCTCGCGGAAACGGCGGAGGAAGGCGCGGTCGGAGGCGTGGCTGAGCCAGAGCCTGCAGACTCCGGCGGCGCGGACGAGGCTGGTGGGGCAGCCGACGCGGACGATGATCTCCGTCAGGAGGTTCTCGTCGTCGAGCACCTTGGAGACACACGCCGGCGGCGGCTGCGCCTCACCCTCCGTTCCGTCCAGCTCCGGCGGCGGCGGCGTCTCTCCTTCCATTCTGTGCGTATGTTTCCGCGGATTTGGGTAGAATGGGGATCGAGGCGAGTCAATGGAGTGAAGAGCCGATGCCTTTTTTTTCTTCAGACAAAAAGAGCCGATGCATTCCTTTCCTGGCCATGGCCTGATAACCAAGGCCCATCTAACTCCAGCCCGGACTAACAACTAGGGCCCATCAAGCCTGTAATATGACCGAGCGGGTCAGCCCATTCAACTCTCCTACTACACTCAAAATAAAAAATTCAACTCTCCTACTAAAAAAAAGACCGACTAAAAAAAACTAAAAAAAGAACGGAAATGTTAACGCCCACACGTGTAGGCGCTGACCATCTCGACCACACGCATCCATCACCGTCCAGTACTTTATGCACGAATCTTGGCACAATCTGGCCGATTTTCTGTGCCACGTAGGACAAGGCGTGTGTGTAGTGTGTGACATAGCTTGCCCGCACGTTAGTTGCCACACCGCGGTCAGCGGTTGCCACTCGGGGGCGTGCGGTGGGAACTGCTATGCGCCTGCACGCCGCGCGCCGACCGTGGTTGACATCAAACACGTCGCGCACTTCGCCCCCCTCCCCCTCACGGTTCCATTTACTCATCCCCACAGTTACTCGCACAACCCACTTCGCATTTCAGACGATTGAAGGAGAAGACGAGGGGAGAAGGCGACGGCGGAGGCGGAAGAGTCGACGGCGTTCGCGGCCGTCGGTGGTGCTCGCCGGACCGGAGCGGCATCGCCGGAGCGCCTACAGGTTGAAGGTAATGCTCGCTCCCACTCTCACAATCCTTGCCTGCATTTTCTCCCCTTCCCTCCGTGTTCGATGCTTCGCTCGAGATTCATAGAGATTCAGGCGATTTGGCGATGCGCCGGCGTTCCCGCCGCCGGCGGAGTCCTGTGCTTGCCGTTTTCGGTGGCACTGGGCAGTTTCGTCGCCGCCGCGGTGGCGGTCTCGCCGGTGTGGCTCTGCCTGTCTAGAGACACACACTGGTTGTGCCTTGGGATTGGGTCGTTGTTTTCCGGTCTGATAGTTGCGCATTGCTTCGAATTGGTGTTTGCGATCAGTTTAGGGAGAATTTTGGGGATGAATTTCAAGTCACTATAGTTGCCATTGAACCCTAGATCTAGTTAGTTGTTTTTCAAACTGCAGTATGAAGGCAAACATGGTAGTTTGAGTAATTGTCATGACTGTATGGCAACTAATTTCCTGAATGGCTGTGATAGTTGCCATAAACATGCTTTTCCATGTGGCAACTAATTTCCTAAATGACTGTGTTAGTTGCCACAAACATGCTTTTCCATGTGGCAACTAATTTCTTGAATGACTATGGTAGTTGCCACAAACATGCTTTTCCGCGTGGAAACTAATTTTCCTGAATGACTATGATAGTTGCCACACTGTAGGAATGGTAAAGTGTAGTAAATCGGTAGTCACTGCAGTTTCAGCAACCAATTGCACTGGATGGCATCTAATCTGCACATCAATTATATCTGTTGCCACATGGATAGTATATTCTTGTGGCAAATAGACTGTGAACACACTGTGGCTGTTGCCATGTTGTAGACAGGATAATGTGGCAAATTGGCTGCATAACATGGCAACTAACTTGCACATCAATTCTGTCAGATGCCATATACATGCTTTTCATGTGGCAAGTATTTGTCTGAACACAGCATGTCTGTTGCCATGTTACAGTCAGTATAATGAGGCAAATTCATTGTACGGCATACTCAATTTTTCGTGTTTTGCCATGATGACTTGTGATATCTAAACACACTGTGGCAATTTCAGGTTGTTCATTAGATGTTTTTCATCGCTTTTTTGAATTCTGTGTTGCATTTTAACATGGCAATTTCAGCCTAGCACATTTTTTGCCATTGAACACATGTCAAGTCATTGTTGCATGAGGACAGGGTGTGAGCTGCCACATCTTAGGTTTGTGCAGTGGAGGATTTTGTGACTTTCTTTCGTACTATCTTGTGCTAACATGGCAACTTCAACATTTTGTTTTTAAGTGCATTTACGATCAGTACATTTTTTTTTCAAATGTAACCAATGTGATTAATTGCCACATTTATGTTTTCGACAATCATATGGGGTGTGTGTGCGTGTTCATGTGATATTTTGCATTCACTAGTTGACATTTTCACCCGAGCCCATGCGGCAAGGACATTCTGTTAGGTGGCAACTGCCTACTCCCTGCATTTTCATTTCCACCGTGATAATGTGGTATGTTCTTACCTCAGCAGAATGGCTCGTGGTGATCATCAAAACGATGATGATGATTTCATGGATCCACCACAGAAGAATCGGACAACTGGACGGAGAAATGAGGGCGACGAGGTAACTGTCCACACACCCTCCTCCTCCTGCATATGTTATTGGTTGCCACCTCGAGATTTGCAGTCGTCTGTCATGAACTAAAATTTCATGACAGTGAAAACACGGCAACAACTGAGCATTTGTCTTTTTTTTGTAGAAGAAGAAACATACTCATAATAGGGCCTCCCAGGAACGACTGACTTCATTGACTGACAGATTTACCGACGATCAGAAGGGAGCTGCTGCTGAGATGGGTATGCAGGCTCTGATGAATGTCCGGTGCACGAATCTAGTCAACCCTGTATGCGACTGGCTTGGTGAGATTTACGACCCCGCCTCCAGGGAATTTGTGATTCCGGGCGTGGAAGACTGCCGTTGAATGAGGAATCCATTTTCTGCACTTTGGGTGTGCCCTGTGGACATATCAAAGTCCCGTATGAGGTCAATAACAAGATCGAGGAAGCGTTGTTCCCCCGTTTGTTTCCTGGTTTGGAATCCATGCCGAACACGTCTGTACTGGCAGATTCGCTACAGGCCATGACAACCCATGGCGAGGTTTTTAAGATGAAACTACTCATGTACCTCATCTCAGCTGTTTTCGTGCCGACCACTTCTCTTCGCCCAAGCAACAAATGCTTCCCCATCCTGGTGAATGATCTATCTTTACTACATTATTTTCCTTCAATCTTTTGGCTTCCGATGTCATGTGCAAGCTAGTCACTGCCAGTGTTCTTTGATGTTTTTTTCCATTTGGTTTCTGATGCGGCAACTCATTGTCCTGAAAATTGTGCGGTGCAGGCGACTCTGAAAGATGTGAAGAACATGAATTGGTGTAAGTTCATTGCCGACTTCCTGCATGATACATTCTCAAGCAAGATGTACCAGAAGGGTTGTCGACTGCATTTAATGGTATTTTTTCACCAGTCCTTTTCTGTGAACACTCTTTTTTAACACCTTTTATTTTCATGCATGGCAACCTGATCATAACAAGATGGCAACTGCCATCATGACAATATGGCAACTGCCATCATACTATGATGGCAACTGCCATCATGACAATATGGCAACTGCCATCACACTATGATGGCAATTAGCACATACAGATGGCAACTTCTTCTTTTTCTCTTTTTTCATGCACTTCAACTTGATGATTGTAGGAACATATATTATCCTGTTTTTTCGCAAAATACCATGATGGCAACTAATATTTCTTTCTTTTTTAAAATTGTTGTACATCAGCTCATGTACGTCGACTGTCTTGATCTGTCCATCGTGGATTTCACTGGGATAGGAGGCCCGCTGCCTACACACAAGTTTGCTGTTTCTGCATGGACTATCGATGCTGTCAAGGCTGTACTTACTGCAGACAGGGTAACTGATACCAAATATGGAAAACTGCAGGTTAGTCCTGGTTTCTTTCTCTACACGGCATTCTTACAAATTTTTGCAGCATAACATATGAAAAATCTCCATGTGGCAACCGTCTGTGGTTAATAAGAGATGACTACCTTTGTTAGCCATGGCTGTCTGCGTACGGTATCCATGACTCACTCCACATGACAACTTTGTCATTCATGCTAAAACTTATATCCACGTCTTCTTTTTTTGTTGTATTTTGCAACACATGAACTTCTAGTCAGTGTTCATCATTCTCTCTCCTACATCCTAGCTATTTTTTTGGTTTTTTCCAGCTGATGGCCAAGCATGCTATAGACTACAGCGTGTTTGGGGGGTTGTCGGTGTCAAAACCGGTGGATCTCGGGTAGGGGGTCCCGAACTGTGCGTCTAGGCGGATGGTAACAGGAGACAAGGGACACAATGTTTTGACCCAGGTTCGGGCCCTCTCGATGCAGGTAAAACCCTACTCCTGCTTGATTAATATTGATGATATGGGTAGTACAAGAGTAGATCTACCACGAGATCAAAGAGGCTAAACCCTAGAAGCTAGCCTATGGTATGATTGTTCTTCGTCCTACGGACTAAAACCCTCCGGTTTATATAGACATCAGAGAGGGTTAGGGTTACACGAGTCGGTTACAATGGTAGGAGATCTACATATCCGTATCGCCAAGCTTGCCTTCCACGCCAAGGAAAGTCCCATCCGGACACGGGACGAAGTCTTCAATCTTCTATCTTCACAGTCCAGGAGTCCGGCCAACGATGATAGTTCGGCTATCCGGACACCCCCTAATCCGGGACTCCCTCAGTAGCCCCCGAACCAGGCTTCAATGACGATGAGTCCGGCGCGTAGATTGTCTTCGGCATTGCGAGGCGGGTTCTTCTCCAAATTCCATATACTTGTCAAATAGTGTCCGGCTTCTGATAAATGCTGCGCTCCTTGGCTTCCATGCCCAATAATGGCCATCTTCCACGTGTCGAACGAATGCGAAAAGCCAGGGTATTTTTACACTTTCCCCCCTAGCTGCGCAAATGAGCCGCCTACAAAAAGAGACGAGGATCTAGATCCGAATCACACCATCCCCCTCCGCAAGCTTTCATCGGAGCGCCTCTGACAAAAAATCCATTCCATCATGGACAGTCGACGCGGCTCCTCCTCTCGCGCTCCCAGCCCTCAGCCTGGGGATTGGGAGAGATGCTCAGTCCCGCATAGCAAGCTAGTGACGCTCCAAACCAAGGGATTTCTTCCCCCAGCCTTCATGGTTCCGGTTCGAGCCAGAC